CCTGCATCTGTTATCAGACAAGAAAGTGTTTTCAGAGCCTGGTAAAAATCTTGTAGGGATACAAATGAATTGCAGCTTGAAGCCCGTGATGTAACTGACATAAAGATTGTAGTAGTAAAATGAGAATTGAGTGGCAAAAGCCCTGGGAAAGATAGGAAGTGCTGATGGGAGCGGGAGATTGACAAGATAATGTGAGAGGGAGAGAGGAAATGTGCTGAACGCAGAAGAAAAAGCAACGTTAATGGGAACACATGGAAACTAAGAGCTTTCTCTTTGGCCTGTTGGCAATCTTTCGACCTGACCTTTGCAGCTCGCTCGCGCTGCAGTGGAGAGAGCAGAAACAGTCTTGACATCTGTTGAATTTGCTCAGCACGAAGAATCTGCAAGTTACTGATGATTTTGTGTGTTCAGACGGGAGAATTGAAGGGACCAGGTTGATCAGTGCAATACGTCCAATGAGGGTGGTGAAACCCCAGCACAGGTTGCCCAGAGAGGAGGTGGAGGCTCCATCCCTGGACACGTTCTAGGTCAGGCTGGATGGGGCTCTGAGCACCTGATCCAGTTAAAGATGTCCCTGCTCACTGCAGGGGGGCTGGACTAGAGAAAAGTCCCTTCCAACCCAACACATTCTATGACACCCCAGTGAGATGGGGAGAAGGAATGAGGAGAGAACGCTGAGCGGGTTCCCGTGCCACCCACTTGCTGCCACCCCCTTGGCCCCGCTCTGTGCCTGCAGGCTGAGCAAGCGCCACATCATTTCATGTGTGGGAGATCACAGAATCATTATGGTTGGAAAGGACCTCCAGGGTCATCAAGTCCAACCTTTTTCCCAGCATTTCTGTAACCACTACACCATATCCTCAGGCGCCACATCTATTCATTCTTTAAACACCTCCAGGGATGGCCACTCCACCACCTCCCTGGGCAGCCTGTTCCAGCACCTAACTACCCTCTCAGTGAAGAATTTCTTCTAATATCTAATCTAAACCTCCCCTGGTGCAACTTGAGGCCATTCCCCCTCGTCCTATCATTACTAATTAGAGAGAAGAGACCGGCACCAGCCTCGCTACAGCCTCCTTTTAGGTAGTTGTAGAGGGCAATAAGGTCTCCTCTCAGTCTCCTCCAGACTAAACAAACCCAGTTCCCTCAGCCGCTCTTCATAGGGCTTGCCCGACATAACCAATCAGTCCATGAGCTGATTAAACACATTTCTGAGTTCTTTTCTTGCTTCTTTGCTGATGGAATTTTCTGAGACGAAGATCAAAAAGCCTTGCAACAACGGCCTCAAAAGTTCTGTTGTGTGAGCTGGTAACAGGACTGCCCGTGTGCTGGGTGCAAGGCGCTGCGCTGGGTACCCTGGCAGCTGCGGGGTGTGAGGAGAGCTGAGGTCTCGGGTTTAGTTCCATAGCGTGGGTCTCTGTTCCCAGCGCTAACTGCTCAGCTTCCCTGTGCCAGCTACAGCAACTGACCAAGAAAAGCATTATTTGATACAATTTTAGCCTCTTGCTGCACTTCAGTTGCTAAAAGTGAAGAAAAGGTGCAGGACCGTGTCCAATCCCAGCTTTCCATGGCTCAGTGGAGATGTTTGATGGGCCTCATGTGGGAACAGTTGTCGGCATCTTGTTGCCATGTTCTGTCCTAAAACAACACGGTGCCTGTGGCAGTGTGCGGAAACTGAGCTCTGAAGTGTGGCAATAAAGAGAAAAATCGTTACTTCATAGCAGACTCAAAATCTGGGGGAAAGACCTTTTCAGAGGAACATCCAGCTGCAAAACATCAGTGGCTTAAGACGCTAATACCATTAGATTCTCTGTTCCCTGCTTGTCGCTACAAGTGAAACTTTTCAGTCCATTAGCTTCTGCCTTGACCTTATTCTAGCGATCTCCTTTTAGCCCGCAGAGGCAGAACGTTTAATAACTGCTCTCTTAGGCAGCAGCCAAACAGGACCAAATGCTGCAGAGCAAGTCTCCTGCCCTTGTTTCCCCAAATGTGCAGGTCTCGACCTGTGGAAAGGTCGTCTTGTTACATAACCGAGCTGCAAACCTCCCGGACTAAGCTCCATTCCCCCGCAGCTCAGGCTGGGCAGGAATCGTATTTGCTCGGCCAGAGTATAAAGCAACGTAATCCTGTTGCTTCACTCTGCAGGGACGCTGCTCAGAGAGGGTTCAAACCATCCGTGTGCTGGGGGAAGAGCTCCTTTAACCCCCCTGGAGTGGCTACAGGCTGGCAGCACACTCCAGCCCGCTCCACTGTGTGCTTGGTTTTTCAGCATTTGATGGATTGATGTTTCTCGGTTCCACAGCTCATAGAATCATAGAATCAGTTCTATTAAAATTAATTCTCTTACCACATGCTTGCATGCAATCCGGGTGATGCTCGTATTTGAATTTCCAATGAACACTTGTGAGGGTTTTAGGTTTTTTTCCAATTGAAAGTGCAGGTTCTGTAGAGTTGTGTGCCAGTTAAATATGTAACTCCAGCTCGTTCCTCAGATGACAGTTGTGGAGACACCGGGACACTTCCAGGCATCTTATGGCCTAACTAGTGCCCCATAGTTGTCCTGCACAACAGAAACACGGCAGAGAAAAGGTATTTCGTGATGGTGGGAATTTAAGGGTGACTACTGTGAGCTTTGGGCTAATGGGAGCAGTGAACCCCGACTCCCCTTGTTTAAGTAGGAATTGGAAATGTTGGCTGTGCTGCCAGAAGGTGGACTGATCAGCCCCCTCTTTTACCACATGTTGCTCGTTTCTGAGAGGTTTTGCCAGTAACAAATTTATCAAATCCAGATGCCTCATTTGCTGAAAGCCTCGCTCTCTCCGTGTAAAAGCCTCACACTGGCCTTGCTGTTAATCCTGTAGAAATCACGAGGATTTGGGACACTTCACTAAATATGTTTTGCTACGGGCTGTTGCTTCTGGCTTGTACAGGCTGCCTGTGGCTTATTAGCATGTCTCACAGTGCTTTTTAACTCCCACTCGCCCACACAGGCATCGATGGTAAGAGGCTAAAGAGCGACTTCAAGAGGCAAAATTTCTTTTTTTTTCCAGGGCTCAGGTTTGGTATGTCCTACACGTGGTGTTACGTGTTAGGAGCACAAGCAAAGAGAAGTCTAGAGACGGGCCCTGCACTTACATCACTAGGAAATGTAAATGCCCTTCGGGGAGCGGTGGGAAGAAGGAGAGGCCTTTCTTTAACTGCAGAGCTGGTCAGCATAAGCCACGTTCTAATTCTGTGACTAAACAAAACGCTAAACTAGACACCGAGCAGAACTAAACTCTTTTTCAAGTAAACCATGGGGCTTGCACTTCACACAAGGAAAGCTGATGGAGCCAGGAGGAGGCTTCAGTTGCACTGAGAACATCACAAAAACATCCCAACCTCTCAAGTGAGGATCCCTGTTCTCCAGACATCAGAGTACCAGGAGTCTCCTCAGCCTCCGCGGTAACTCGGCCGGGTTACAGCAGGGCTGTGTCCAAACTCATTCACCTGCAAGTGAGATTCAGTTGGCAGAGCAGGCTCCGACCTGGTGAGCCCAGTTTCTGAGGAGCTGTAGTGAGCGGAGCCTGGAGAACAGTTCCACTCACCTGCAACGCGAGGAGATGCCTCTGGGCAGGAATATCTGAGCTTGCTTGCAAAATGAAAAACGTGTAGATTTAGACTAGATATCACAAAGAAGTTCTGTACTATGAGGGTGGTGAAACACTGGCACAGGTTGTTCAGAGAAGAGGTGGAGGCCCCATCCCTGGAGGCATTCAAGGTCAGGCTGGATGGGGCTCTGAGCATCCTGATCCAGTTAAAGATGTCTCCTTTTCTGGACACTTTCAAAGCCCCCCTGGATACGTTCCTGTGTGGCTGCTCTAGGGGATCCTGCTTTGGCAGGGCAGTTGGACTAGATAATCTCTAGAGGTCCCTTCCAACCCCGAGCATTGTGTGAATCTATGTCCTTGCTCATTGCAGGGGCTGGGACTAAATGACCAACACATTCTATGATTCTATGTTTGAGCTGAGACACTGCATAGATACAGGTTGTTTAAAATGTTTAAGCTTTTTAAAAAGCTTTATCTCAAAGAACCGATTAACTTGTCAAGGGTTTAAATCAGAATATTCAATGCTTTCACAAGTTTCTAAATAGGAAATTTATAGGTCAGACACCTGCTTGTGCCTGTGGGAAGGAACTTAAGTTGTACCCTCCTGAGAGGGCGTCCACAATGTGTCAGGAGAGTGGGAAATCCACACAGCATCCGTGCCCCAAGCTGGGTGTTGACAGAGCCTGGCCACAAACCGAGATACAGTGTTACATAACAGAGCTATCCAATTCTAAAAAAAAAATAAAATGTTGAAGGCTTTGATGATTTTTATGCTCTGGTTTTTGTTGTTTGGGTTTTTATCTTTGTTGGGTTTTCTTTCCTCAATTATTTTTTTGTTATTTCCATGTAAGGGTTTTATGGAGACAGATAAAATGCACTCAAACTTTCAGTTTCTAGCAACAGTTGAATTATGGTTGGATATGCTTGGATAAATCGGTCGCTGCTTTAGCAGTGTACTAAGTGTTTTGTAGCAGGTCTACACTGTATGGCAGCATTTACCCGTTCAGTGTCTGATCAAGGTAGAATTCCACATCTGACAGACTGCAAGTGGGGACCACAAAAAACTAAATATAAACTCAGATGGATTAAAACTAGAGATAGGTGGATTCAGACCCATCGAAGAAGTTCTTCCCCATGAGGGTGGTGAGACCCTGGCACAGGTTGCCCAGAGAGGGGGTGGCAGCCCCATCCCTGGGAGTTTTTAAGGCCAGGCTGGATGGGGCTCTGAGCAGCCTGATCTAGTGGGGCATGTCCCTGCCCAGGGCAGGGGGTTGGAACTAGATGATCTTTAAGGTCTCTTCCAACCCTGACAATTCTATGGTTCTATGCAACTACTTGGGCTGAGAAGCCTGAGAGGCACAAAAGAG